TCCCTTTTTACTGGCTGTCCTTTTTTTTCTCCTTTTTTAATCCCCTTTTGCAATCCCTTTTCCTTGGTCCCTTTTACTTGCTGTCCTTTTTTTTCTCCTTTTTTAATCCCCTTTTGCAATCCCTTTTCCTTGGTCCCTTTTACTTGCTGTCCTTTTTTTTCTCCTTTTTTAATCCCTTTTCCCGGTCCCTTTTCCTTGGTCCCTTTTCCTTGGTCCCTTTTACTTGCTGTCCTTTTTTTCTCCTTTTTTAATCCCTTTTCCCGGTCCCTTTTCCCCTTTTCCTTGGTCCCTTTTACTTGCTGTCCCTTTTTTTTCTCCTTTTTTAATACCTTTTTTCAATCCCTTTTCCTTGGTCCCTTTTACTTAATCCCTTTTCCGGACTTCGTAGGGTTGTGGCATGAGGCGAGCCAAAATCGCCCCTATAGGGGCGGGGTCGAAAAACGCAGTTTTTGAGGGCTGGGGAGGTCATGGTCACTAGTTATGAGCACCTCTATTTATGTATTCACAGCGTTTCGCCGTGAACACATACTATCGGCGATTCTGAGTTTGCCGCCCGATCCAGCGGATCCGTTGGGACGGGTGGGTTGCCATTGTGCTCCTCGCCTCCGCTGCTGGGCACGAACGGCTCCGGTTCGGCGTGCGTGTGGCCGTTCCGTCGCGTGCGGTTGTCGGGTGCCGAGTTTGTGGTGACGCCGAGGCAACAACAGGCGCCGAGCGGCGAGCGTCGCTGCCAGGCGACCGACGAGCGGCTTCAGAGGAGCTGCGGTCAGCGCCGTCGGCGTGACGGTCTCGCTCCAGAGACGCCAGTGTGCGTGAGTGTGGCCTCGTCACCGCCGTGTGTTGAATGCACGCCGTGACACTGCTCACTGTGGCCTGCTTGCGATCGTCGCTGCCCGGCGACCGACGAGCGGCTTCTGCTCCGGAGCTGCGGTCAGCGCCGTCGGCGTGACGGTCTCTGTCCAGAGACGCCAGTGTGCGTGAGTGTGGCCTCATCACCGCCGTGTGTTGACAGTACGCCGTGACACTGCTCACTGTGTGCTGCTTGCTGCTCTGCGCCGAGAGAGACGCGACGCGCTTACTGCTGTGTATCTTCGTGGAAAGCGAGCGTGATTTTGCGACTGCGCGAAGGCGCCACGGGCGATCCGTCAATGTCATCCGGGTATGTCGCGGATCGTCAATAACACCGTACACAGCCGTACACCGTACATGTCAAGGGCGAGAGACACGCTCGTGTTGAGGTGGGTGAAGCGCCGCGCCAGGTGCGTCACAGGCACACACCCCAACACACACGTACACGTGTCGTACGACGAAGCATTCATGCTACTAGAGGCCTCACAAGAGGCTGGTGCATTGCCATTCATGCTACTAGATAGGAGGCTCGTCGGCGCGCAAGCGTCGTGTCCGACGCGTACATGGCGTATCGAGAGAGGCGCGCCGAAGAGAGCCGTCCTTGGAGGGGTGAGGTGGACTCACGCGGTCTCGGCCTACAGGCAAGGGCGATGCACTAAAGACTGGTCTGGCAAGAGCCGGCCACCATCTCTCCATTGACGCCGCCTCCTGCTCGGGCTCGATGAACCAGGCGGTGAGGAACCAGTGCGAGCCGGGCATGTCGGCCGAGTTGGCGTTCTCGGTGATGTCGAACACGGGCGTCTCATTCACGACCATGATGTGGACGACGCCGTGCTCCTGCGGGTCGAGCAGCGTGCGCCGGAAGTACGACTCGTAGAGGTTGATCGGCCCGGGCGGGGCCATCCACGAGGGGGCCTGCCCGGCGCCGTCGGGGTTGTTGGCCGACACGATGCGGAGGATGTTGTCGCCCGTGAGCAGCCGCGCGACGGTCGAGTCGATGCCGATGTCGGCGTTGCCCAGCTGCACGAATGCAGGCGTGTTGTACTCGCGGATGCGCTCCATGGTCATCTCGAAGAAGGATCGGCCCATGCGGCGTGCCTCCATCGCCCAGTTCGCGGAGTTGTAAGCGCAAGTGAGTGCCAGCTGGTCGTGCGTGCGCGCGCGATGGCGAAAAACAAAAAACTCGACCTGGTTTGCCTCCCCCCTGCCCCCCCCCCC